TGTGATCAACTTTATTTTCCAGATTGTATACTTTGTCTTCATTATCTGACATTATTTCTTCCAAGTGATAGTCTGTTGGTTATGTTTTCTATTGAGTTTTGTATTTGATTTGTTGTATCCTTTGTTTTAAGGATTTCTGACTAGGTTTTTTTTCCAGGGTCTCTAGTGTATTCTTTTACCACCTGTATCTGTTGGAATGATCAATTTTTGCTTGTATTTGCTCATTAAGGTCATTCTTTAATTCACAGATCTTTTATTTTTTAAAAAAATACATGACAGCTGAATGCATTACATTTCTTATTACACAGAGTACAATTTTTCATCTCTTTGTATATATAGTATGTTCACACCAATCCATGCCTTTATACATGTACTTTTTTTGCATTACAATTCTTATACATATATACCACAATTTTTCAAATCTGTTTATAAAGTATGTCGACACTCAATTCAAGTCTTCATACATGTACTTTGGATAATGATGTCCATCACATTCCACTGCCCTTGCTAATACCCTGCCCCCTCCCTCCTACCCCCCTTTCCTATCTGCAATTCATCTAATCCTCCCATGCTCCCTCTTCCTATCCTACTGTGAGTCAGCCTCCTTATATTTGAGAAAACATTCAGCATTTGTTTTTGGGGGGATTGGCTAACTTTGCTTAGCATTATCTTCTCCAGTGCCACCCATTTACATGCAAATGCCATGATTTTATAAATACACGACAGCAGATTGGATTACAGTTCTTATTACAGAGTACAATTTTTCATATCTTTTTATTCTCAATGCTGAATAAAATTCCATTGTGTGTATATGCCATATTTTTTTAATCCATTCTTCCACAGAAGAGCATCTAGGTTGGCTCCACCGTTTAGCTATTATGAATCATGCTGCTATAAACATGTGGCTGTGTCCCTGTAGTATGCTATTTTTAAGTCCTTTAGGTATAGGCCAAGGAGAGGGATAGCTGGGTCAAATGGTGGTTCCATTCCCAGATTTCCAAGGAATCTCCATACTGCTTTCCATATTGGCTGCACCAATTTGCAGTCCCACCAGCAATGAATGAGTGTGCCTTTCCCCCACAAGTTGCCAACACTTGTTTGTCTTCATAATAGCCGCCATTCTGACTGGAGTTAGATGAAATCTTTAGTTTTGATTTGCATTTCTCTGATTGCTAGAGATGAGCATTTTTTCATATATTTGTTGATTGATTGTATATCATATTCTGAGAAGTGTCTGTTCAGGTCCTTGGCCCATTTGTTGATTGGGTTATTTGGTTTTTTGGTGCTTAGCTTGTTCTTTATAGACCCTAGAGATTAGTGCTCTGATGTGTGAGGAGTGAAAATTTGTTCCCAGGATGTGGGATCTCTGTTCACCTCAGGTTGTTGGGGTTTTGCTTTTTGCCAAGAAACTTTTTAGTTTGATTCCATCCCATTTTATTGATTCTTGGTTTTAATTCTTGCACCATAGGAGTCTTATTAAAGAAGTTGGGGCCTAATCCCACATGATGGAGATTAGGTCCTACTTTTTCTTCTAATAGACGCAGAGTCTGATTTAATTTCTAGGTCCTTTTGAGTTAAGTTTTGTGGATGGTGAGAGATAGGGGTTTAATCTCATTTTGTTGCATATGGATTTCCAGTTTTCCCAGCACCATTTGTTGAAGAGGCTATCTTTCCTCCAATGCATGTTCTTGGCACCTTTGTCTAATACAAGATAATTGTAATTTTGTGGGTTAGTCTCTGTGTCCTCTATTCTGTACCATTGGTCAACCAGTCTGTTCTGGTGCCAATACCATGCTGTTTTTGTTACTATTGCTCTCACAGATCATTTTAATTATGAATCTTCTGAACTCGTTCTCTGACATTTCATCAATTTCGCTGTCCGTGGGTTCTATTATTATAGTATCCTGGTTTGTTTGGGGCACTTTTCTCCTTTGTTTCTTCATGTTGTCTATGTGTCTTCCTTTCTTGCAGTATGGATATGAGATACTACAGTTTCTTCCCTATATTCTTGTAGTACCTGGGCAGGTTGTCTGAACCTCACCTTGATGTTGGGCTTCCAGACCCTGCTGATGCCCTCAATGGATGCTCCTGGATCTGGGTCCTGCACAAGTTGGTGTGGGTAGTTCTGGGCCACTGGACTTGACCTCCCTCAGTGGTCTTCTGGTAGGAAGGGGCAGTCCTTTGCCAGAGGCTAGGGTCTGGTGGGTGTCTGCCCTGCCAGGGGAGGAGTAGACTGAGCCTCCTGTGTGCCTGGGACCAGTGTTGGTGGATCTAGACCACAGGGCTTGACCTCCCTGGGTAGTCTGGTGGTCAGAAGGGGCAGTCCTGCACCATAGGATAGGCTCTGATGGGCGTCTGCCCTACCAGGGAAGGGGTGGACCAGGCCTGCTGTGCGTGGATCCCAATTTTTAAATTAAACTTTATCATAGGTACGTATATACAGGAGAAACCTAGTCATAGGGTTGGATCCTATCCACATTTTCAGACACCCATTGGGGTCTTGCAGTGTATCACCCACAGATAAGGGGGGACATTTCGACAAATGGTGCCAGCCTCTCTTCCTCCTACACAGTCATGGAAAGAGATTTTTTTTCTTCTTCTTTTTCCAAACAAGAGACTTATTATAGTGTTTCCCCCTGGTCTTCAGGTGAAAGCAGTTTGGAATGTAGAAGTGAGGGAAGCTGACACTATGCAGGGAGCAGAGCTTTGGCAATTGCCTGCTCCTCTTGTACCTGGGTCATCATCTTCTGTAATTCAGGGCACACAAGGCAATAGCCAGGACTGATCCTCCGGGGGTCAGAGATTAGCTTCCCTCATAAAGTGACAGGAACTGAAACCAGCAGGGTGGGAAATAGCATAGTTGCATCCCTCTCCTGGAGTACCAGCTGAAGAGGTCAAAGGTGAGCATTCTGCCGTGGGAGGATTAAAACTATGTACTGCTATGCTATCAAGAAAAAGTCTACCTATGATCAAATATTTAACTGACACAATTATAAAAATTTATGGGGGAGATAACATGAGGGACAGAATTTTTAACACATTTTTGTTGCCAAATAGGAGAATTATTTGTTCTCCTTCCTCTCCAGACCCTCTGTGATGAATAATACAAACTTAACTGCAATTTATTCTAAGACGCTACTAGAAGAAGTGGGACCAGGAGAGTGACTGTCTACAATAGGAGTGGGCAGAGCATAGCCCACAGGTGGAATCCAGGCTACTATGTGTGTTTGTGGATGCTGATTATAAACTTATATTTAAAAATATAAAAACCACTAAGGACTACTATCCTTTAGTGAGAATAGTTGATTTTGTGTCTTGGCTCACAAATCCCAAAATGTTTACTATATGGCCTTTTACAGAGTTTAGTTTGCTGATCTCTAGCTTAAAAGATGGTCACTGGGGATGGTCAGGCTTCAGGGGGAGGTTCACTAGATGGAGTGGAGTGCTGTATGTGGCTACTAAATTAAAATTAAAGAGAATGTCAACAGCCATTTGTAGCCCATGGTTTTGTTGGGATGAGGTAGAAAACAGAACATTTCTGCCATCAGACAGTCCTGGCACAGAGGGATGCCATGTCCACATAACGTGGCTCGAACTCCAGTATCCTGAAGCAACTCAGTTCACTGAATGGAAACTCAATGCAAGTGAATATACTTCAACCAAAAATTTACTAATTAGACTCATTTCCTATAGTCAGAAACAAAACTGAATGCCATTCCTCTCCTTGGACACCATCAACAATCTGATGATTTGGTTGCCATATAATCCATTTGTCTCCACTTGGCCATTATTCCAAGTTAGACTGAGGAAAGCGTGGTGGCCCTGGGATCAAAGATCTGAGCACCCATCCTCCTGCATGTTTTTTACCGTCTGGGTGCCGAGTCTCTAAATGTACTCAAATTCTCTATTTGCTCAACAGTAAAGCCCATTGTAATATCTGCAGAAGACTTCTTTGTCAACTGTAAAGGACTGCTCATGGCTTTCTGGATCACCATTGTATCCCCCAATACCTCATATTTCTGTTCAGAAAAAAAAAAGACACTTAGTATTCGTTGAATGATAAAGAAAATAGGGCTTCTCATATAGAAAACATCTTTCAGGCCAAATACTGTAACAATGACTTCCTATGGGAAGGGTTAAAAGGATTCAGTTGTATTGATATGGGGACACTTTAGAGCTATTTCACTGTCCCTGAGCACTTGGGCCAGGAATAAATCTGCATCCTGATCTCTCTTTCAGGTGATGGAGCAAACGACGTAAGCATGATTCAAGCCGCCGATATTGGGATTGGAATATCTGGACAGGAAGGCATGCAGGTATTGTGCCCTGAAACTGCTCTTGCTTCTCCCTACTTTCCTCTATCCATAATGAAGATTTAAAGAATGCCCCCACAGCACTGGAGGGACCTTCCCCAAGAGCTTCATGGAACTACCGGCCATCTTCCATGCCTCTACCTGACCTCCGACACCACATACCTATGGCCCAGCCTTTCAAAAACAGAGGGATAGTGAAGGACGTTGGCTTTTTACAGTGAGCAGATGATAGCTGTCCTCTGAAGCCGATTAGTACCCAAAATGTAAGCCTTCCTCTGACTCCACACCTCTGTGCCGTAACCCACATCCAACGGTTCAGTGCCCTCTGTGAGCAATTAGCCATCAGGGCCTTTGAAAACGTTTTAAGTCGCCGTTTTAGCCATGTGGGTTGATGGACCCATTAGTTGCTTGGTGTACTTTCACAGCATATCTTGTTTACTGAAAGGTTAGCTTTGACCAAGCAGACTAACTTGAGCTGCTCTTCTTTCCTCCTCAAAGCAGGCCCTATTTTGTGGTTTTGAACCATAACAATTGTATTTCCACTCCACCCGCAGACATTTGGCATTGACTAAGTTTGTAAGGCAGTTCTGTGTTACCCCCTGAGTGTCCCCCACCTGCCAACATTGTCAGGCACTTCATGTGTACTACCTCACTGAATTTGAGTTGTCACTTCAACCCTGTGTTAGGGATTATTCTTCCATTGTCTTCAGATGAGGGAATTGATATAACCTGACCAAGATTCATACCAGGATTTATAACCAGGTATAACCAAACCTCGTGATCTTAAAAGAGTACTCTGGACTATTTTATTATGAATAATCCCAAGGGCAGAAGACATTTCAGTTCCTTGTAAAGGAGGGACTAGCCACCCATCAGCTCCATCCAGAGGGGCTGGAGAAATACTTGAATGGAAACCCTACTCTCTGGTTAACCACCACATCCCTGCAATGGCCTCTGCCACCTACTGAGCCACAGTAAATGCTTATTTGATAAACAAATGGAGAGGACAGACTAAACCATCAGTCCTTCTGGTTACCCTTCTTGGAGTCTAGTGAGGTCTCCATTTCCCAGAAGAGAGTGGGAATCCAACCGTCCACCCAAGAGCGACCACATAATTAAACAAGGGGCAATTCAGACCCTGCAAACTCCAGACCTAGAACAAAGCACTGCCCTCAAGGGAACTTCTTTGGGACTTGGGTGGCCACAGATGGAAGTTAACATCCCTGCTCTTCCCCATCAGGCTGTCATGTCCAGTGACTTTGCCATCTCCCGCTTCCGGCACCTCAAGAAGCTGCTGCTTGTGCATGGTCACTGGTGTTACTCGCGCCTGGCCAGGATGGTGGTGTACTTTTTCTACAAGAATGTGGTGAGTGGCACTGTGGCAACCTCTCACTTCATCCCTGGGGGGAGGGGGGGTCCTGGCCAGAGCATCTCAAACACGGAATGAGGCATGCAGACCTGAATTTTTAGATCTTAAAACCGTTCACTTCTCTGGGCCATAATATCCCCTTTGATAAGAAAGGGCTAATACTTTATAGAAAAAAGTTAAGAATTGGCAATGTTGCGCATAGAAGTCAGCATGAGTAGTTATAAGTGTGGAGTCTGGAATCAGATACATTGGGTTCAAATCTGGCTCCCAGTTGGTCATGAACCCGAGTCTCACTATTACCATCTGCATTTGACAGATGGTATCATTCACATACACATGCTATGAGAGTTTTCTGTCAGTGTGACAAAATACCCAAGATAATCAACTTTACATGGAAGGAAGGTTTATGTTGGCTCATAGTTTGAGGTTTCAAGCCATGGACAGTCAGCTTATTGCTTTGGGCCTATGATAAGGCAGGAACACATGGCACAGGATGGTGTCTGTCCAATAGCAACCAGGAAGTCAAAGGAGGAAAGGAAGGGCTGGGATCCTAATACTTCCTTCAAGAGCATATCTCAGTTCCTCCCACTAGTCCCTGCCTAATAAAGGTTCCATCACCTCACCACAGAGGTTCTCCTACATGGGCCTCTGAAGAACACATCCAAACTATAGTTTGTGCTATGAAGCACAAATGAAATCTAAGTGACTGACATGTAGTAATAACTCTAAAGTTAGCCATTATTATTCTTAGAGTTAAATTTCATGAGATTTATGTTCTGATTGCAAGGAAAAAGAAATTGAAAACCAGCAACCAGTCTGATTCATACCTTAGAATTCTCTCTCCAAAGAGAGCCATCCCAATTCAAGATCTGCACGCCTTGCCTTGGAATTGTACAAGACCAGAGCCCACGTCTTCAACCTGTACCTCCCTTAAGGAACACCAGACTTCCTTCCAGTAGGTTCCAAGAGGGCAGGACCCTAGATGAAATATGTATCTGCAAAGATGTGTAGGGAAGGCAGCTCATCTGGGTATAACATGACAGGTGGCTATGGAAAAGTCATTGAACTGAGCCTCAGTTTCCCCACCAACAGTATAAGATGATTCTAGGATTCTATGAGCATAGGGAGAACTCAGTTTTTGTACTTTTGGGGGGAACCAGTCCTGAGTTTTTCATTACCTAGTTCAAGGACCTTTGAATAATCCCCCAAGAGTCTTCAGATAGTATCAGATTCCTCTTTGCATAAGAAAGAGGGAAAAGAAACAATAGCCAAGAAGCAGCTACAGACCTCTTTATCCTTCTTGCTCCATTTTCCCAGTCCTCCTTTCAGGCTCTGACACCATCACCCTCACTCAGGAACAAACCTTTCTGTGCAAAGTTCAATGCACATGTAAATAAACAGCATGACACACAAAAAAATCATGTTAATTGGATCAACTGGATGGTAATATTATCTCAGCAAGTCTATGCAAACAAGTCACTCCATTTGACTTGAAACTCACCGAGTATGAAAGACTGGTTACTTAGAATTCAAAATGCTCCCCCTTTTCTTTTTTGCATCCAAAGGAAACATTCTTTTGAATGAGCACAGCCTCTTCTCTGCATTAAATTTGTGAAACAGAAAAGGAAACATTTCCAGCCAGCCACACTTTCAAAGCTTAAATGATCTTTATTTCGAGCCCAATGCCATGCTTGAAATTGCAACGCTGATGCCACATTATCTCCCGGCTGCAATTAGAGGGTGGAGAACTATGACTTCCACATCCGAAACCAATTTCAGAGGGGATTAAAACACTGCCTGCTCTGAAATTTGAACAATGAATTAATTACTGCACCGTGGCTTCTTGGGAGGGAAAGCAGGCCTCCGATCTCAGCCAGGCTGCCATTGAGATGCTCCCTGGGAGATGCAAAGATTCCAGCGAGGCACAGGAATCAGCAAATAGGCAAGATCCTACCAGGGCCTCGGGAGGAAGGAAGCACTCAGAGCTGTCAGAACTCCAGGATGAGTGTTAGAAGAAGAAAACAAATATTTGCTTCACGTATAAGCACTGAATGTCTACTGTACATCAGAACAGTGCTGGGCCATGGGCACAGGGTCAGTTCAGCCTTGGCCCCTGCCCTCAGAGGGCTCCCTGTCTATATCAGGCCTCTGCAAGGGGTCAGATAATGCATCTTTTCTGCTTTGCAGGCCATAGACATCTAGAAGAATCTCATTGTGTAAACCAAAATTAGGACCAAAAGAGGTTGGAGGTGGGTAAAGAGAACTTTGAAAATGCAGGTGCTCATTGTGCTACTTTCTAGCTCTCAACTAGGTCGAAAGGCAGCTGAGCGTCTCAGAGCCTCATCTGCAGGCTGGAGCTAATATTATTGTCACTATTGCTATCCATGTTAATACAATAAATATGCTATTGGCAATAATCTTACAAGTTTGCTAGGACAAATTATAATATATATTGTACATCTCATGTACTGTACTGACATAGTGATATGCTATAAGGTATATCGCACAACACATGTAGAAACCTAGTTATCATTTGTTCTAAAACCAATTGTAATATTGACATATTAATAATGGCCTCTTCAAAACAACATTGGCCCAGCAGTTTTGAAATGAGGGTTTTAGTTTGAATACAAACCTGCTGAATGATTTCTTTTAAGGCCCTTTATGTCAACAGGACTAGGACTTTTTGGTTCATGGAGCTACCTCCAGGACCAGCTGCTATGTGACTGTGGTTGGGTCACCAAACCACTTCACAATGTGGCAGACACTAATGGGGACCCAGCCCATCTCCAGGTAGGGAGATCTGGAGGGGGAAAGAGCTTTAGAAAAAATAAAGCTATATTTAGGCAGACTTTTCTTACCCCTCCCCCTCCGAGTTAAATGACCTTAAGGAGAATCCCAAATGATAAACCTTCTCATGAGATCACCAGGTTTCCTGTTCGTGGTTCAGTCTTTCTGTCACTTTTATGCTGAGGCATTAGTTTCTAGTACCATGCTGCTGCCATCTATTTATCACCATGGTCGTGGTATTATTGTTCCATTGACAGAGGACAAAATGATATTTAGAAAGATTAAGCAGTTCACCCAAAGTCACACAACTAGTGACAGACTGGGGGACTTAAAATCAGGCCTGCCTCCAAAACCTCTGCTCTTAACCACATCACATTCTCCAGTGTGGTAAGGTGCGTATGCTCTCAAGAGCAGTAATGTTAACAGAAGCTGTAAATGAGGGAATCGAAGCTCCAAGAGCCCAGGTGACATGGAGCTCTGAAGCAGCAGCTGATGACCAGCAGGGGCCTTGCTCACAAAGCCACGCTCTCTGCCTGCAGTGCTACGTCAACCTGCTCTTTTGGTACCAGTTCTTCTGTGGTTTCTCTGGCTCCACCATGATCGATTACTGGCAGATGATATTCTTCAACCTCTTCTTCACTTCCCTGCCACCTATCATCTTCGGAATCCTCGATAAAGATGTCTCTGCAGAAACCCTGCTGGCGCTGCCCGAGCTCTACAAGAGTGGCCAGAACTCCGAGGTAAGGAGCTCGGGCCTTCAGTAGGTTGGTGGCCTGTTTTTTTTTGACCACTGACAGCCCTCGAAAATCAGTGTAAGAACAGTTGGCTGGGTCACAAGCCCTGCTTTCTGTCCCTTAACTCCCATGTGACTTTAGGTAACTCTTGCTCCCATACTTGAATTTCATTTGTTGCTAAAGGTGCTGGAGGATTGCAAGTTCAAAGCCAGCCTCGGCAACTTAGAGAGGCCATAAGGACCTCAGCAAGACCCTGCCTCTAAGTAAAATGTTAAAAATGGCTGGAATGTGAGTCAGTGGTTAAGCACCCCAGGTTCACTCCCCAGTGCCAAAAAAAGTGACATATTAATGTGACTGCCCTGATTGAAAGGGAGGACGACATATAGGAAGATTCCCCAAGCCCAGTGTTTCCTGTTGCTGGGTACTGTACAAACTCCAGGAGTTTATCTATGTGGCCCTGGGCTGCAGCACAATATGGAGATGGCATCAGGGTGGGACCATGTGAGAATGAGAACTCACAGTGAGCTGGAAAGCCACCTGCAAAGTTTGTAAAAGAGCAAGGGTGAACTTGTTCTTTTATAATAGCCCACCATGGCTTCCCCACATCGCTACACTGAGGACCAAGCTTCCTCTAAGGGACATGCACAAACCATGTCCCCCAGCTTGAGAAACCTGAGGACTAGCTACCAGTTTGCTTATCCCTAAAGTATACTCAAAAGCAATACTTCACATCGTCCAGGGAAGAATGTAGAACTCAACAGAGCATGGCCTAGAACTTTCTGGTATCAGATAGACTGCAGAAGTCCAGAGTGATTTGGAGAAGTGAGGCAATGGCAAGGAGGGCTGGTGGAGGGGCCCCTGGATGCTTTGAAGGGGACTTCTGGGAACAAGGCCTTGAAGTACCTGTAAATAGGGTACCTGTGCACCTGGGGCAAAGGAAGGCAAAGCCAGATGTGGTGTTCTCAAAAAATATCAGCTCCCAACAAAGAATCAAGCCCCGTCCTAACCCAAAGAAAGGAGCATAAAGTGACACCGCAGGCCGAGGAGTATGTGCGAGTCCTGGAGGCAGCACAGCCACATGGTGCCTCTAGTAGGTGCCCCTCCTGGAGGGGGCAGAACTGATTCTTGGGCATCTACAATTCCAAGAAAATATAGTAAAAACCAACCCCAAAGGTTTCTGTCTTCCCCAGAAAGAGCAAAGGCTCGTCTCTGACACAGCTGAGCTGTCTCTGGGGAGCCCTGGATCCCAGGCTGGGCTCTAGCTGTTCCTTTTAGAAGCCTCCTGGACACTTCAGACTCTGATAGACCCAGTGTGGAGTAGTTTTGTCAATAGAAACCGAGCGTTAATAGAGACCAAGGCACTGTGGCATTTAGTCCTCTTGAACCCCAAGGAAACAGTATTATTTCTAGCCTCCTTTTATGGAAAAAGAAAAGAGTCCTCAGAGCAGTTCAGCTCTCTGTACAAGGTCACACAGGAGTGGCAGAGCCGAGACTTGAACTGAGGTCTCGAGAGCCTGTGCTTTTTATCACTACTTTTTGTTGTGGCTGAGAGGCAGATGCAAGTGGCCAACCTCTCCCAAGATGGTTGCTTAGGAGGAAAAGGGCTGTGTTATGTTGTAACCATGGGCATCTTCTTCCCTGGCAGAACTACAACCTGTCGGCTTTCTGGATTTCCATGGCGGATGCGTTCTACCAGAGCCTCATCTGCTTCTTTTTCCCCTATCTGGTAAGACAACTAGTCCATCAATCACAGCCTGCAGTTGGTACAGATTATATGAAATTCCAGACGAGCGGTGTCTTTTTGGATACTTCAGACACAGGCTCCAAACTGGTGGTTGCAAACCACATCCCACCCAGCTGTTAGGATAAAGTGTTCTACTTATTCCAAACAGTTTAGTATCTGGAGGATCTTGAAAAACCAGAAGCTAGCATCATTGCCATGAAGCAAAAATTCAGATTTTCAGCCCTGCTCAGATGGGAAATGTGTTCTCCCATTTGCCACAGTCCCCACCATTCCCCTTACACCTGGACTTCTTTGTTCATACTGCTTCCTGCCTAATTATATCTCAAGGATTTTAAATTCAAATACCTTCCACATACATGTGTGTGAATATACATAGTTTGTACTTGCAAAGTCAAGGCAGCAAGAAGATACACTACATTACCTTAAACAAACAGCAATTGCATAGATAACAAGGGATACCAGCCCTGTCTCAATTTGTTTTCTCAGTTTAAATAGAAGAACATATTCTGACCCCCTGTTTAGGAAGAATAGAGTAATTGCCCCCAAATAAACCATATTGCTTATGGTGAGCCTTTGAGCTCATTTTCTTCCCCCCCACAATTAGCAACAAAATGAGGGTGGGAGCAACTTCTGCTGTTTCCAGGCTTGCGTTATCCTCCTAGTGAAGCATCACTGGCCTTTCCTGCCTTATTGTCTGTCCCTGCCATATGCTCAACAGACCCACCCCGCTCTCCTGTGACCTTTGCCTGGACTGCATTTCTCCTCTTATCTCAGCTGTCATATCCTTTGTGTTTCCAGGAGCCCTTGTCAATTCCCTCTATTATGGCACTCATGCCCTTAACCTGTACCACAGCTACTGGGCCTAATGGACTGTAAACTCCTTGAAGGTGGATATGAAAGTGTCCTCAGCCAGAGCCTGGGGGGATGCTCCATAAATTCTTTGTTCACTCAGAAGTTTTACAGCCTTCATTCTGGCTTCCTCTGGCAAACATGTTTCTAAGTAATTTAGTCCTGTCACCTCATTTCTCATCTGTGTCTGTTCTTTGGGTGGACAGCAACTGGATATGTTCTCTCCCTGTTCGTCCCCAGCCTGGACACTTGCCTTCATTGATGCTTTATGACCACAGGCACATCTGACAATGCCCATTTGTTCCTCCTCTGCAGACCTACAGAGGCTCTGACATCGACGTCTTTACCTTTGGGACACCAATCAACACCATCTCCCTCATCACAATCCTCTTGCACCAGGCGATGGAAATGAAGACCTGGGTAAGCATCCCAGAGCCTCAGTAGTTCAAAAGCAAATCCCTTTCCATTGCCTACATTCAGATTTCCGAGTTGTTTCACTCTATCATTGATTCATCTGGTCACTGCATATTGAGCTCCTAGCTGTGTCCCACCTGGAAAGGGTTGAAAATAGTGAGGAAGATAAGCAAGTGGAGGCCAGGAGCTGTATCATCTAGCCAGAATGACAAAACTAGATCAGCATTATTTGCAAAAATAGGTAATGCTGATACAAAGTTCAGGAATGGTATAGAGATGAGCTGTGTTAGAGGAGGTCTGTTTCTCATTTAAATTTTAGGGGTGCAAGATTGGAAACTGCCTTCAGGTCACCATATCTCAAGCAAATCCAAATATCACATTTTAATACCTAAAAAGGAATTCCAACTTCTTTACAAAGAGATGAAAAGTATGTGCCAGGCATCTACATGCTTTGCATGGGTTATCTCATGTAAGCTCACAGATCCCTTTGTGTTAAGTGCAACAGGGCCAAGAAACTGGCCCCAAACATTTCAAGACAGAAGAGGTTTTGAGCCCTGGCAATCTAACCACTTTGTTAATAATGTGAATAAATAAAATTGAATGGTACATGGAGACCCTAGTACGGAAAGATTTGTCCTTAATCACATGGAAATGGCTCTTTCCGAAAGCGTGAGTTTTAAAAATTTGGAAATCTGCCCCCACATAGGTTCAACCTGTTCCTGTGTTCTGCAGCAGAACTTATCGTCTCACCTCCCAGCACAAGCCAAACAGGCACTGGCTGTTGAAAACCACCAAGGGAGACACTACATCACAGGGTTCCCCTTGTATTTCAACACATGCCAATGACAGAACCTAGTACTAAAACCAAAAAACACAGCAGGCTTAAATTTCTTCATAAACCACCTCACCAGAGAGCCTGCAACACGCAGGGCAGAGGTCAGGTTCTGGGAAGGCTCAAACGAGGAGGTTTCTGAGAGTCAGAATAACACAGGGTTGATGGCAGTGGGGAGATTGGAGTCCCATTTACTACCGGGTCCAACTTCCCCCACTCAAGAAAGCAACCTATAGACAATGAGCAGGCATGGTGGCACATGCCCGTCATCTCAGTGAGACAGGAGGATCCCAAGTTTGGGGCCAGCCTGGGCAACTTGGCAAGACCCTGTCTCCAATTTGAATTAAAAAGGGGAGTAGGGATGTTACTCCAGGGCAAAAGACCCATAGGTTCAATCTCCGTTACTGTCAGGAAATATACCAGAAAGCTATTTGGGGTTACTACAGCAGTTGTATCAGAATTGTGAGCACCGGATCCTAGGAACCGAGACAAGCTGCATGTTTAGAACTCTTGGAAATGGAAAAAGTGCGACTTGTGGGATCCTCTTTAGATCAGACTCTGGCAAAAAGTAAAATACCAAATTGGAAAGTCGTACTGGGAACTCATCCAAAATGCCACATGAATAAGAAAAGTAGCTGAAAACAACCGTGGCTCCAGCATCCACATGATGGGAGTCTTAGGAGAAGATACAGGAGAGAATGGTAAAAAAACAGCATTTGAAGGGCTTGAGAATGAATCTGGCTGTATCACCTGGATATACAATAGGGAAACTCTGCAACCAATGTAAGATACAGCAATGATCTTAAAGTCCACCAGAGGCTCTGGACAAGGTACATGGACACAAGCCACCAGAAAAAACAATGGATTCATCAGCCTACTATAGTGATTCGGGCACATCCATGTTTATAGCAGCACCATTCACGAGAGCCAAGTTATGGAATTAGCCCAACTGCCCATGAGGAGATGAACAGATTTAAAAAATGTGGTATATATACACAGTGGAGTTTGGCTCAGCCCCAAAGAAGAATGAAACTATGTGAATCAATGAATAGAACTAGAGATCATGAGGCTAAGTGAAATAGACCCAGAAAAATCAAGGGCAGATGTTTTCTCATATGCAGAGGTTAGAGAAAAATATAAGGAATGAGGGAACTGTGGGAGGCATTGACCAAATTATGCTAGGTAGCTATACGAATATACCACAATCAGTTGTACCTTGGTATCTATAACTCGGCAATTTAAAAATAAAAAACCTACAAATGAATAGAATGAAGTACAGTAGAGGAAATACTTGGAAATGAAGTAGAGCAAATTATATTCCATGCATGTCAAAATGAACCCGAATATTCTGTAAAACTAATGCGCTAACAAAAACATTTAATTTAAAAAGGAACTACATATCTATACCCTATGTAAATCTATGGAAATATCACACTGAACTCCACTAATCGTGAAGTCAAAAAAAAAAAAAAAAGAAGAGTCCACTTTAGCAAGAACATCAAAAAGTTTAGGAAATAAGATGGTAAAGAAGGACTGGGTAATTTGTGCTAAATCCATGATGCATAGGAGATAGAAATATACATTTAACCATACATATTTTCATAAAAGTCCCAAAATGTAAGGTTAATAAAAGAATGAAAAAGTGCAGAGAATAAAAAATACAAAATATGTTCAAATACATCAGTACTCTTACCAAATGATAGTTTGCTTTAAAAGAAATTAATTCATTATCACTATATATATTTTTTTCCTTATATAATAAGTACAGGCAGATGGACAAATTCACAGTCATAACATGATCTTTTTATACAGCTCTATCAAACTGGCATGGATCAAATATGCAACAAACTATTTATTTAAAGATTATATATTTTATCTAATATATTTGTTATCTGGAACAGGATTTTGTATATCTTTTTTCACCAAAGAGACCATTTACAAAAATCAAAATTTTGAATTATAAAGCAATCTGAAAGATTGATAATTATAGAGATCATGGTCCTGAACAAAACAACATTTGAACTAAAAACAAGAAGAAGGTAACCAAAAGTAACATACTTGGAAATTCACTTTTAAGTAATTCATGAGGTAAAAAACAATGTTGGAAATTGTATTATTCTTACTGAATGAT